ACAAATAAACTAAAAGCCTGTTCTCAAATGCTGTTGACTCAGAATAATTCCTCTGCAGTTCCTGTTTAATGCTATTCTGGACTTTCACCTATGACAGCCTGTCTCTGGTAACTGGTCTCCTGACTTCCTCTTATTCCTCTCATTGCCCAAATGTAAACTGTAGGGCCTGTTCTGCCTGCTTTTTGTTGTTTTGTGAGACAGGGTTTCTCTGTGTAGCTACACTGTCCTGGAACTTGGCTTTGTAGATTAGGCTGGCCCCGAACTCACAGAGATCCTCATGCTTCTGCTTCCTAAGGGCTGGGATTAAAGGTGTGTCCCACCACTGCCCAGCCCCTCTTTCAGCTTTTTGATCTCCAGGACAAAACCTTAAATAAACCAATGAGTACTGTATTCACAGCACTTGGAAAGTGGAGATGGGAGGATCAGAAGTTCAAGACTAACCTTGGCTATACTGGATCAAAAAGAAGAGGAGGAAGAGGAGGAGAAAGAGGAAGAACAGGAGGAAGAGGAGGAGGAGGAGGAGAAAGAAGAACTACTAAACAAAATAAATTCCTGATGAGGTACATAAAGATCCTTTCCCTATAGCCCAGGGCCAGGATCTCACTGGGTTCTTGTATCTGCTCTGGTGGTCCCTTTAAGGTTTATTTGTATTTGCTGAGCACAATTACTCTGAGACACCCCTTACCCCCCTACTTCTCCACTCCCTCACCCCCCCATCTCCCCCCACCGCAGGACTTAACAGTTAAATACACTTTCCTTTCCGAAGGAGGCCCTTTGCTCTTCCAGGAACAATTATCTTCCTCATTATAATCTTGCCAAGCTCCATGGACCTTGCCTCTCCAGCCCTAGGCAAGGTGGACAGGTTGTGGCAGGGCAGTGGCCAGAGCAACATCAAAGCATTCATGTTTGTATTTCTTTGTTTGGTTCGATTTTTGTTTCCAGAAACAACCTTTTACTCTGTAGGCCATGTGGCCTGGTACTCACTATTCAGTCCAATTTGAAGTAATCCTCTTGCCTCAACCCCCCAGGTATTGGGATTGTGGGTATATGCCATCATTTAAAAACATCTTTTACTTATTCTTGTTTGTTTGATTGATTATTGGTTTTTTGTTTTTCTTTTTCACAGCAAGCTTTCTCTATGTGTCCCTGGCTGTCCTAAAACTCATTCTGTAGACCAGACTGGCCTCGAACTCAGAGATCTACCTACCTCTGCCTCCTGAATGCTGAGATCAAAAGCATGTGTCAGTACTGCACAGCTCTTTTACTTACTATTGGGCAAGTGTGTGTGTGTGTGTGTGTGTGTGTGTGTGTGTGTGTCTAGAATCTCGTGTAACCCAGGCTGGCCTTGAGCTGCCTCTGGAGCAGAGGGGTGACCCTGAACTCTCTTTTAAATTTTTTTGTCCTTTTTTTTTTTCTTTTAATGTATTTGAGTGTTCTGATTGCATGAATGTATGTATTCAGTGTGTGTGCAGGACTCTCAGAGGCCAGAAGAGGGAGACTAATTCCCTTGTGAGCTGCCTGCAGTTGTTGGGAATCAAACCTTTTTCCTCTTAACAATTGAACTGCTGGGACTGGAGAGATGGCTCAGTGACTAAGAACATACTCAGTGATCTTCTAGAGTACCCAGGTTTAATTCCCAGCACCCAGGTGGCAGCTAACAACTGTCTGTAACTCCAAGATCTGACACCTTAACACAAACATAAATGCAAGTAAAAATAATTTTAAAAACAGGGCTATTAGCTGGACTCTTAATCCCCTTGCACCCTCCTTCAGCAGCTGAGATTAGAGGTGTATCCCATAGAGCCATATTTTATAAGTCAATGTCTCTCAACAAAACACTAACATGTAATTTTCAGAAAAATATTTGTAAAAATATATATAATACCCATGATTTTTCCTTTTTTGTTTAGTTTTTTGTTTGTTTTTTGAGACGGAAGTTTTTCTGTACAACAGCTAAGACTGTCTTAGAACTCATTCTGTAGAGCAGGCTGGCCTCAAATTCACAGAGATTTGCCTGCCTCTGTCTCCCAAGTGCGGGGAATAAAGACGTGCACCACCGCCGCCCAGCCCCATGATTCTTCTTAACTTGTAAGATCTAGAGGCAGGACTAATATCAGAAATATGAAGTGTCTGCCACACCTCTAGTTGAAGTAGATGAAAATCCCTGTGATTTCCGTTGTGACATCAGCTTGGAGATCTACAGGATGCTGCTCCTATTCCTAATTGAAGGGCACATCAAGTTTCACTCAAAGGCTACTGAAAACATGCATGGATTTTATATTCCTCTCAGCTCTATTCTTGGACCTCCCTCAGGGTAGGGCTCCTAGACCTCCTCCAAAGGTTGTCCCAGCACCACAGCTGAGAGCTAAGATCTGATAGCTGGGTGTGTTAAAGGCTTGTAATCCAGCCCTGGTCTGAACTGTGCGTTATGGGACAGCCAGTGTTGCGTAGTGAGACCCCAAATATGAAAAAGAAATTAGTGGAGATGACTGTATTTTCACTCTCTGACAAGTGAGGAGAACAAAGGGAGAAACACCCACAGCTGGGGTTTGAGAAGGAAAGCAGGGTTTTTCTGGGACCATGTGGCTCCATCTTCCTGAGTGAGTCTTTAGGACCTGAAGCTGAACCTCAGGTAAAGGCTGGTCCCCAAGTGCAAGGATTAATTAATTACTACAAAGGCACAAGACATAGAAAATAGGACACATGTCAGGCAACTGATGCTTCGATGCAGGGAGAAAGAAGCCTGCAGGCAGATGGGCTGCTGTGAGGTGTGGCCCAGAGACATGGGCTCTCCCTAACACCATGGGCCTGTTTCCACAGCGGTCCTGCTCCCCAACTCCAAGGTAGTACTGGATGGAAGAGGAGCTCAAACGTGGTCACTGACCCCCTCCTTCACACACCCTGTTTAATAATTGCATCATTTTCCTCAAATCGTCCCACTTTCAAACTTAAATACAGTTTTTTGTTAGTTGATGTTGGCAGTGAGTGCTTCACCACTCAGCTACATCTCCATCTCCGATACACTTTTGTTACTTGATTTTTAGATTTATCTTTTGTGTGTGTGAGAGAGAAAGAGAGAGAGACACTTGCTCTCCTGCGAGCACTCTAGTGCTTCTACACCTACCTATTGAACTTGTAGGCTTGGAGGTGTCTGATCCCCATAGCGCTGCAGTTACAGGAAATTGTGAGCCACCTGACATGGCTGCTCTGCTGGGAACATAACTCAGGTCCTCTGAAAGATGGAGCAGTAAGTACTTTTAACCATACTGCTGAGCCATCTTTCCAGCCTTATTGTTTGCTTTTGGGATAGATGGATTATCTACTTAGCTTAAATATATATCAAGCTGGTCTCAAACTTTCTTTCTTTTTGTTTTTTTTGTTTTGTTTTGTTTTGTTTTTGTTTTGTTTTGTTTTTTGGAGAGAGAGGCTCATTATGTACCTCTAGCTGGCCTCGAACCCACAGAGCTCCACCTGTCTGATGCCCAAGTGCTAGGATTAGAGGCATGTTGTTTTTTAAACAAAATTAAGACTTTACATGACTAAAATGAAAACCTGCTACTCTGCAACACAGAGAAGACTCCTATGAAACAGACAAACCAGAACAGTTTCTGTCAGAGGGCTCCAACAAGATCAGGTGTGGAAATAAGGCTGTAACCGTCTCTAAGTCGTTACAAACTGTAAAACAGTGGTTTTCCAGCTATGCCTTGCTTCCTGTGGCTTCCCTAGTGCCACTCCCCCCACCGTCCCACATTGGCCCTGGCTGGCTTTGAACTCCTAGAGCTCCGCCTGCTTCCTGGGTGTGGACCATTACACACGGAACTGTATATTATCACCACCACCTCACCTCCTGCAACCCCAGCGCTTAATCACACCCGAGCACCACCATCCAGGACATACACACAAATACACATCTGTGTGTGAGTGGGCGGCACTTGTGTACCACAGCCAGCATGCAGAAACCAGAGAACAAATTGCAGGAGTCATTTCACCCTGTGGATCCTGAGGAATGGAAAGTGGTAGCAGTCATTACGCGGGTCTTGCCTAGCTCCATTTTACAAAGTCGCATTTGGTTCCATTTTGAAAGGAGGTGAGGCCCAACCAGGGAAGTAAACATGGCATTAACCAAAATGCATGTCCAGAAGCTGCCTTCCTGGCCCAGCCAGTCCTTGTGTGTCCAGTCCAGTTCCTGGTTCGGCAGAGGCCTGGGGAGGGAGAGGGGAGTCTGTAATGAGACTTTATATGAAAGTGTAAGACAAGACCAGCAATAAAGGCTGAGGCGGCCGCTGTACAAATCGGAGCCAGAGCCCCAAGTCACCCTGCGGACCTGGTGTCCCTCTAAACTGCAGGTTGAGCCTGACTCTCGCCCACAGCATGCCTGGCACCAGGAAGCTAGCTGGCTGGGCTCCGGAGGGTGCTCCACACCTACAAACAACGACTCTGTTACTCCGGAGAGCGGCCCATTGTCCTTGTAGAGTAGGAGCGCCTCCCCCGTCCACAGCATACCATCCGAGGCGCAGCTGAGAATGTCCTGGGAAGGCAGAACTGGTGGGCGCAGGAGAGGGCAGCGGACACTCCTGGACGCGTCGGTCAGCTAGAGATAACCTCAGCCGGGCCGCTCGGGTCCCCTCCCAAGTCTAGACCCTCCCGGTAGGGAGGAGTGCTTGAAGGTCTGGGTGTGGGGAGTTACCCATGGGATCTTCCTGGAAGCCGAGTTGTGGGGCTGGCTGGCACCTCAGCAGTCTATCCCTGCTGCACCTCAGCAGTCTATCCCTGCTGCACAGTAGCTGACCTGCATTCATCACCACCGTAGCCTTGACTTTGCTGAGACTGGACCGCCTCTCCCTCTGGGCGCGCTATTCCACGCGCGCGCGCCGTGCTCCGGAGCCGGGCCCACTGGGATCCCGGGCGCTGGCCTCCCACCCCGCCCCTCGCGGTGCTCCCAGCGGCAGCGGGTGATGCGGCCCCTTTAAATCCCGGCCGCCCCGCCCTTCGCCGTCGACTCGGCGGCGGTCCCAGATCTAGCCGGGCCGCGGCTCTTGCCGCCTTGCCCAACCCTGCCCGGCCCCGGCCCAGCCTCCGACCGAGGCCGCCAGCTCCGCGCGCCGCGGAGGAGCAGCCCGTCCGGCCCCCGCCCGTCCCTATTCCCGCCCAGAGCGCAGCCGCCTCTCCCGGACCCGCAGCTTCCCCGCGCTCCGGGGCCGGGGCCCCCGCCGCCTCCCGGCCCCCGCGCCCCGGCCCCGGTTCCCCGGGCCATGCGGCCTCGGCCCCGCCGGCGCCCGCCGCGCACCGGAGATGAGGCTCCGCAATGGCACCTTCCTGACGCTGCTGCTCTTCTGCTTGTGCGCCTTCCTCTCGCTCTCCTGGTACGCGGCGCTCAGCGGCCAGAAAGGTGAGCCCCCACCCCGCCGCCGCCCGCGCAGGCCCGCACCCGGTGCACCTGAGCCCCTCCCATCCTCGCCCCACTTGTTTGCTGCTGGCGTAACAACATTTCCCCGGACCGCCTGGCCCAGGAGGCAGAGCAGTGACCAGGTCCCTCCGTGTGGCGCTCGGAACTGGCCTCTGCCCGCGGTTATCTCATGCCTAGGGGCGGGCGCTCCCACTGGCAAGTTAAGGACCTATGGAGTTCCCACCGAGGGGCAGAGACACAAGGTCACAGAGCTAGTTGTAACCAGGTGGACCCAGGGAACCCGCTGCAGGCTCTTGGACAAGAGCAGGTTTGGCGTTGTTGAGACAGGTGAGGAGATACAGCCAAGGCATCCATCCCCCTGCCCCATCTACTGCTGGGCTCCGCTGCAGCCTTGTTCCTGTAAGTGCTGCTCCCTGGGGGCCTACAGCCTCTTCCTGGCATCAGGCCCCAGGACTGATCAGCTAGCCCAGGAACCCTGATATGTGGTCATTTTGTGGGGTTTCCTTGGCCCACATCAGCTCCCTGATACTCCTTTGAAGCTTAGACAGGCTGGCCAGTGCACAGTGGCCTCTGTGCCTGGCTGGCCCTCCTGCGAGTCCAGGGGCACAGGCCCCAGCACTGTCAGGAGTTTTTCGAGCTAGGTTGAGTGGCTGACTGGGAACTGAAGATCTGTGAGGCCATGATCCACACAGCCTGAACACAGGAGGCTTTTCGAAAAGCTGCTTCCTTCCTGCCTGCCTTCTGCTCTTCCTGTCAGATCAGGCCTGGGCAAGCTAGCCTTCTCCCTCTCTCAGACAGGCTCTCTGTTCCCCAAGGTTATGCTAAATGAGTCTGGGGAAAGTCCAACTCCAGCCACCAGGCTCCTGCCAGCCCAGTCCAGCCCAGCCTTCTCTAGAACTTGTCCTGTTTTGGTGGAGGCCTGGACTGGCCTTGAGAGAATCACAAGCCAGGAACTCTGAGGAGAGATTGCCTAGAACCTGAAACAGAGAGAGGGTGATCAGGCAAAGGCTATGGGATGGGATGGGCTATCAGGAAAGTGTATGGCCAGGGCAGAGTTCTCTGTAGGTAGGGTGTGTCACCCAAGAGGATACATTTTGAGCCCTTGGGAGAGAGGCCATGGAGGCTGCATTGGAGCCATGTCTGAGGGACTGGGCCCAAGTTGTGCCATTGTGGGTAGGGCCATTGGCCCTTGTCCCTCATCTTCAGTTAGGCAGTGTTCCCTGTGTGCTTCTCACACAGTCACATGCTCTCATCTGATGTCAGGACACCTCCTGAGGAAGTAACCAGGAAACTGACACTCTGAGGGCCTGGGGAGCAGAGAGCCAGAGAAAGGTGTGGCTCACATGTAGAGTTCTTCCTAAGGGACAAGCCCAGGAGCCTGTGCTATGCAGAGGGTGGGGCCTGGGACAGCCCTGTCCAGGCACTGTACTGTTTGCAAGGGCGTCCAGCAAAGCCGGGCGTCTGGATGTCGGGAATCTGGGCTGTGACCTGTTCTCCTTCTTCCATGCAGACAACTCAATAGCAAGCTCATGTAGTGAAGCCATGCTCAGCCAGTCAGCCACTAGATTGGAGTTGGTTTCCAGTTTGTAGTGGATATAGGGCTCAGGAGAGGGCCCAGTACTTATGGGAAAGCAAAAGGACCGGAAGGGAAGGTCTGGGCAGGGAGCCAGAGAGGAAAAAGACAGCTGGAGCAGGTTTAAGAATGGAAAGGACTCAGACTTGGCCAGATGCACCTGGGGTTCAGGGCCCAGGTTCAAAGGCAGCCTTGGCTGTATCTATTGAAGCAGCCAGACATGCAGGAATCAGGCTATACCCTCAGCCAAGCAGCTGCTGAATTTCCACCTGAGGAAAGACAGAGCCACACAGCCCTCCTCGGTATTCAGGCTTACTTACCATCTCATTGGACTGGATAGCAATAATGGGCCCTCTCTCCAGGTCTGCAAGACCTGGAGACAGAGTGGACACCTGCCACTCCCCACCTCTGCCTCCTACCTTCTTGCAGGTTCATAGTAGACCTTTGGCTAGGCTTGGCATCTTCCTGTGGTCCTGAGCCTCTTCCCTAAGTCTCTAAATACAGTGTTCAAAGTTTGTACCCCAGCTTAATTCTGAAAGCGGTCTCCTCTGCCAAGAGGGAACCGGGTGTAATATTGTGGTCTGTGACCTCAGGGCATGTTTAATTCTCCTGCTTGCAGAGTATCACAGGTCCTGTAGCCAGTGTAGTCTGTCATGGTATGGCCACTGCTGCAGCCTGCCGCTGGGCCAGCTGTATCCTGTTTCCCTGGAATATGAAGGTGTGATGGAAGCCAAGATCCTCTGCTTCCCAGGAAGCCCTATCCTGACCTGGTCCACACACCCAAAGAGACCAAAGAGTTCCCAGGCCCTTATCACTGACCTGCTTCACTACCCAGCCCACTAGAGGTGTGGGGGTGCCAGGATTGTCTAGTGAAGTCCCCCACTTTAAGAACAACCCATAGGGAGGCAATCATGCAGCTTGAGTTTCTGGATTTGAAGGGTGCAAGGACAGAGGGGACCCTCAGTTAGTAGACCTAGGAATAGGATCACTGAGCTCCTATAGGAAACAAATAGCAGGTAGATTGAACAGGGCCAGAAGAATATGGTGGGCTGCTAAGGGAAAGGTCCCGTGGAGTTCAGAGAAATGACAGTAAGATCCGCCTGTGGACAACAGCCAGGCCCAGGAACCCAAGGGGCCCATTACTTGCTGGTAAACAGTTGGAGCACAGGCCTTAGGAAGGGAGGCCAGGATAGGGATCCAGCTGTGCCCAGGCCTTGATGGTCAGGATGGTTCCTGACCTACCTGCAACAATCTAATGCAGGCAGAGCTTGGCTTACTTCCAGAGCAGAGTTGGTCTGAGGAAAACACAGGCAAAAATCAGATCAGTGTTACTTCTCCATCCCCTTCCCTGGCCCCAGCTCAGGGCTACTTGGGATACTGCCAGTGGCACAGACTGCCCTTTAGCTCCTCTCTGAAGGGAGGGCAGGGCCTTTCTGTCCAGGCCACTGTGAAATACCTCCCTAGCTGGCTCTGATGACCTGGACACTCTATCCCTCAACGCTATCTGCTCTTGGTGTAGCCCATTCAGTGCTGGGAGGGTGAGGTTGGAGATGAGCTCTCAGTGTTCAAGGGTCAGGTTTCCAGGGTAACCTGGCCCCTGAGCCCAGCTCTAATTCTCAGCGATCCTGTAACTTGACTCCCTCATCCTCCCCTTTCAGGGCCATACCTAAGTCTGGGTGTAGCCTGGGACGTTAGTCCTGGGTAAGATAGGGTATAGTATCAGGGGGCGGGGCTCCACAGGTAAGGGATGTCTGGACTGAATCCACTTGGCTTTTCTATCTCCAAGCCTCTCCCTTTTCCTCTGCACTCCTTCCCTTTGACCTAAGTAGCACTTAGGTCTCTGCCCTGGTTGCTCTGAGGAGGAAGCGTGTCCTGAAGTGACTCCACCTTTGGTTTACAGGCTATAGGGGGTAACTAGTCCCGCCTTCTGGGGCTGTTTGCCCACCAAGGATTTGATGCCTAGGGGTGGGGTGGGATGGGATTTGGAAAGGCTTCCTAGACTCAGAGTGAAGGCCTTGAAGGCTGGGATGTGGGATTCAGGCAGAAGAAGCTAGACATCTGACAAAGCAGAGGGAGGTGTATGTGATAGCAAATAAAGAGAGCAAAAGCCAGCCAGACAAAGGCCTTGAGGGCCCAGGCTGGCAGAAGCTGCTGGCCCCTCGCCAGGGAGATGCTGTTTGTCCCTCCTGCTGTGGGTCCCTGCCAGAGCAGTGGGGGCAGGTGCTCCTCACCCTGGGGACTCTCCTCCACCCTCAGGCAGCTCCCTTCCGGGTCCCAATTACCCCTGCACTCCTCATATTGGGCCCAGCTGCTGCCAGCTACTGAATTTAGCTGAGGGTCTGACAGTTCTCCTTAGGGTGGCATGTAGACCTTTCTAGGAGATGCAAGCCTAGCACAGGTCATTTGTGGTCGGGGCTTCTGCTGTGGACTGGTTGAGCAACCCCTGCTCTAGCTAGTCAACTTCATCTGTTGATCTGAGCATGGGGGTGAACTGGGCTCTGGGTGAGTGAGTTAGAAAGAACCCAGTGAGAGAGCAATTATTAGTGACAAGGATGAGCGAGTAAAGAGCAGACCACCACCACCCCAACACACACACACACACATACATACACACACACCCTGCAGGAACACATAGTCACAGGTCCTATGCCCAGCCAGGCTCAGACCTCAGGGCTAGAGTCTGTGGAGTCTGGTTGTGCCCATAGAGCCTTAAAGATGAGGTTGTCTGTCATCTCAACCTTGAAGGGATCTCGTGGGTGCAGAGGTTTCAGTCTGAGGCTGTTCCAACCTGTGCTTAGGACTGCTCCCTAGGACTGGGAGATGACCATACCCCCTCCCCACCTAGGATGCATTAAAGGATGAAGTAACTGGGTCGGGAGAGTACTGACGGTGGTAATCTTGCTGGGGGCTTTTCAACACCATGCTGAGCATCTGTGTTACTTCACATGAACTGGTATGTGCCCCATAGTCGGGGTGTGGCAAGCATACCTCTACAGGTGTGCTGTTGCAACCGACAGGCGTTCAGTGATGACATGATGCGGGTCTGCAGGAGGCTGTTCCCTGGTGTTGCCCCATGTGTTCAACCCTCTACTCCCCACCAGGTGACGTGGTGGACATTTACCAGCGGGAGTTTCTGGCACTGCGAGACCGTTTGCACGCTGCTGAGCAGGAGAGCTTGAAGCGCTCCAAGGAGCTAAACCTGGTGCTGGACGAAATTAAGAGGGCAGTGTCCGAGAGGCAGGCGCTGCGGGACGGAGAGGGCAATCGCACTTGGGGCCGCCTAACTGGTGAGCTCCAGCGGGATGGGGTGCATGGAGGTCTGCAGAGCTGGGCTGTTTGCAGGCCCTGCAAAATCTGACCTGTCCCTTTCCCAACCACCCAGAGGATCCGCGACTGAAGCCGTGGAACGTCTCGCACAGGCACGTGCTTCATCTGCCCACCGTCTTCCACCATCTACCACACCTGCTAGCCAAGGAGAGCAGTCTGCAACCCGCAGTGCGGGTGGGCCAGGGCCGCACCGGAGGTATGGGCGTGGCCCGGGAGGGGCGAGAGGCGGGCAGAAAGGCAGTCCCCGGAGCCCTGTCCAGTGTCACCCCTCCGCGCCCCTGCAGTGTCCGTGGTGATGGGCATTCCAAGCGTGAGGCGCGAGGTGCACTCTTACCTGACTGACACATTGCACTCGCTCATCTCGGAGCTGAGCCCGCAAGAGAAGGAAGACTCCGTCATCGTGGTGCTGATCGCCGAGGCGAGTGGCCCTGGGCCTGGGGACAAGAACATGGAGGGGAAGACACCCAGTAACAATCCACCAAAAAGAGAAATACAAACAGAACGGCAAGCGGGGTGCCAGGGACACAATTAGAATTGCAGTCATTAGTTTCATTCGCAAATGGACCAAGACAAAAAGTTAAAAAGAAAGATGAATCTTTGCGCCCCCTTGTGGGCATACTAGTTACCGGGTTCCTTCATCCCACACATTTCTGGGTATCTCAAAAAGCGGTTTTCTGAGGTAACTGACCACAGCCAGGCTCTCTCTCTCTCTCTCTCTCACTCACACACACACACACACACACACACACACACACACACACACACACACACACACACCCCTCCTGGCACTCAGGACAGGAAGTCACTCATTCCTACATATGGGGATATCTGAAACCCACACTCCTGCCCCTCCCCCTTCCAGACCATTTGGGGTGGTAGTTAAGCTAAGTGTCTTCCCACAGACGGACCCACAGTACACCTCGGCAGTGACAGAGAACATCAAGGCCTTGTGAGTACCAGCAACCAGAAACGTTGCTGGAGGGCGGGCAGCCAGATGTCCTCCTCCCCTAAGAGATCTGCCTTGTGTGGGGAGGGGCTTCCCTTCTCTGTTAAAAGTGTGTAAGGGCCCTAGTCTTTCTGGAATCCCAGTGTCTTGGGAGACTAGTGGAGGAGGGACATTTGTTTAGTAAGCTTCCTGAGGTGGGCGGTGCGTGCGTGCGCGCGTGTGTGTGTGCGTGTGTGTGTGTGTGTGTGTGTGTGCGTGTGTGTGCGCGCGCGCGTGTGTGTACGTGTGCGCGTGTGTGTACGTGTGCGCGTGTGTGTACGTGTGTAGGGATGTCTGGAGAGCTCCCAGTCCTCTTCTGCCCCTGGAGACCCCACACCCACTGAGCCCTCCCCCACCCAGGTTCCCCACAGAGATCCACTCTGGGCTCCTGGAAGTTATCTCCCCTTCCCCTCACTTCTACCCTGACTTCTCCCGCCTTCGAGAGTCCTTCGGGGATCCCAAGGAGAGAGTCAGGTACTCATGCTCAGTACCCCCAGCAGTCTGTTGGTGCTAGGCCACTGTCGATGTCTCTCGGGACCCTGTCTGGTGGGTGGGGTGGGGAGTAGGCAGGGTGGGTCCTGCCTACCTGCCTCAGCGGCTTCTCTGTGGTAGTTCACTGGAGGTGGCCCTGTCTCCCCCGGCCCCACAGGTGGAGGACCAAACAGAACCTGGATTACTGCTTCCTCATGATGTATGCACAGTCCAAAGGCATCTACTATGTGCAGGTCAGCCCGAAGCTTCTCTCCAACCCTCCCTGAACCCTTTTTGACCTTGCCCTTGCCTACTCTGCCCATGGCCGCACTTGGGTGAGGGACCTGACTTCTGCCCTGTGTCATCCTGAGTCCCTGACCCCTACTGTTCCTCCCTGTGCAGCTGGAGGATGATATTGTAGCTAAGCCCAACTACTTGAGCACTATGAAGAACTTTGCCCTCCAGCAGCCCTCCGAGGACTGGATGATCCTGGAGTTCTCCCAGCTGGGCTTTATCGGTAGGCCAAGTGACAGCCCATCAGCCCCACCTGCCCTCCACCTGCCACCTTTCAGCCTCAGAACTCTGCCAGTGAGCCTGGCTGAAGTGCCCTCTGTATGTAGGAGGATGTCCCAGGGTCCCCAGCCCTGCCCTGTCTTCTTGGGCCCACACCTACCCAGAGTCTGCCCACAAGGTTCACTGTGAGACGTTCCACATTGGCCCCCACGGGGATGAAGAAGTAGGGTGTTGCAGTTCTTTCCACTCAGTGCCCTTTTCCCTGACTCCCTCCCCTCAGGGAAGATGTTCAAGTCATTGGATCTGAGCCTGATTGTGGAATTCATCCTTATGTTCTACCGAGACAAGCCCATTGACTGGCTCCTGGACCACATCCTGTGGGTGAAAGTCTGCAACCCTGAGAAAGATGCGGTGAGCAGTGAATGTTTGGACCCAGCACAGAGAAGGCAGGCCATCAGCTGCTAGCTCACACTGTGTTCCTGGCCATGCCTCTGTGGCAAGGAGAGGACACTGCTGGCAGAAGAAATCCCCTGGATATCCTAAGGAAAGGCCCCATCCTTGGAGTCTGGGCTGAGCTGAACACTAAGGTGTTACTTTCTGCTCACAGAAACATTGTGACCGGCAGAAGGCCAACCTTCGGATCCGCTTCAAGCCCTCCCTCTTCCAGCACGTGGGCACTCACTCCTCACTGGCGGGCAAGATCCAGAAACTGAAGGTGGGTTATGCCACAGCCTTTGACAGAGCATGGTGGAGACAGGACTGGAGGGTGGCACTGATGTCTGCTCTTCCTCTCTAGGATAAAGATTTTGGAAAACATGCTCTCCGGAAAGAGCATGTGAACCCCCCAGCGGAGGTGAGCACAAGCCTCAAGACGTACCAGCATTTCACCTTGGAGAAGGCCTACTTGCGAGAGGATTTCTTCTGGGCCTTCACACCTGCCGCAGGAGACTTCATCCGCTTCCGATTCTTCCAGCCACTGCGCCTTGAGCGGTTAGTGCTCCCTGGGGAAGGGGACAGGGTGAACACCAGTTAGAGGCCTCAGCATATATTGCTGGGTCTTTAGGTACCCCTTTTAGAACCCCTGAGGGAATTGTTTGCCCCCACCATCGTCCACCCCACCACGCCTCAGTTTCCTTACTGAAAAGCACTACCCAGAATAGTACTAACTGCCTTGTGAGCACTAAGGTGGGCAGAATTTTAGGTGCTCAGTGACAGCCATCACCACAGCCTCAGTGTAAGGCCCTGGCTGCAGTGAGTGCACAGCCACAGACTGTCTGGGATGATGCCCAGCCTCCCCTAGTGCCTGGAGTCACTGGGCAGTGTGCCTGGGCAGTACCTCAACTGTACCACAGCTCACCAGCCTGCTTGGGGCCTGTAGGTTCTTCTTCCGCAGTGGGAACATTGAACACCCAGAAGACAAACTCTTCAACACTTCTGTGGAGGTGTTGCCCTTTGACGTGAGTATGGCGGGTATGGGTGAGCCTGAGGCTGCCTCTTTCTGGCCAGCCGCTCCAGCCCTGCTGCTTTGCCCACAGAATCCCCAGTCAGAGAAGGAAGCCCTTCAGGAGGGCCGCTCAGCGACTCTACGGTACCCTAGGAGCCCTGATGGTTACCTCCAGATCGGTGAGTAGGGCAGGGCCTGTGGTGGGCTGGGCTTTTGGATGTGGCTTTTGTTTTTACCTGTAGGCACTGCCCTCCCACAGGCTCCTTCTACAAGGGTGTAGCCGAAGGGGAAGTGGATCCTGCCTTTGGGCCCCTGGAAGCACTGCGCCTCTCCATCCAGACTGACTCCCCAGTGTGGGTCATCTTGAGTGAGGTGAATTTGGCTGGGTGCAAGGATGGATGGGACCAGCCTACTAGACCATAAGAAGCCCCAGGGCAGCTGCTTATCCTGAGCTTGACTCTTGCAGATCTTTTTGAAAAAGGCTGACTAAATGGAAGGCTTCCAAGGGTGCCCCGTGGCCGGCTCTGGAGCCCACGGTTCCAAGGGTGTTGCTGCTGCTGCTGCCGCCCCAGAAGACCAGGCATATCCACCCGACCTGAAGGGTTCTGCCTGGCAGGCGGCTCGGGCTGGCCTGGGGTCCACCGCTGGCCCGGAGGCCCCAGAAGCTGGTGCTGCGCCGGGCCGCGGGAGGAGGCAGGCGGCCCCCACACTGTGCCTGAGGGCAGGCCTGCTGCCGCCCAAAAAGAACCGAACCGTTTGCCCCTGGCCGGTCGGCTTGAGCCAGGCCATTTTAGAAGAGCTTTTTCTTGGGCGCCCGCTGTGTGCGGCGCGAACACTGGAATGCATACACTACTTTATGTGCTGTGTTTTTTATTCTTGGATACATTTGATTTTTTCACGTAAGTTCGCATATACTTCTATAAGAGCGTGACTTGTAATAAAGGGTTAATGAAGTGTATGCGTCATAGGTGCATGTTCTGGCCAGGCACAGAATGTCTGCCTGTCTGTATTTGGCCTATCTCCATGGGTTCCCAAAACTTGCTGATGGCGAGGACTTTGGGAGACCCCTATCCAGTGCTTGCTGGCTACTGGTGAAGATGACTTTGACCTCTTTCATGCCAGGGACTGAGTCTCCCAAACCCCCCTTTTGCCATGTCAGGTGTCCCAGTGCGCTGTTGGCATACCTCCACATGCTCTCATTCCCACTTAGCAGGAAGATCTTGGCTACTGAGTGAGTTTCATGCACCCAAAGGTGTGCCTGCCAATTCTATAGGAACCCCTTCCAAAGTGTTCTCATGTCATCCTGGGCTGGCATCACATTACCCACCTCAGCTATAGTGAAGGCCTGAGCTCCTTCATTGTGTCCCCGCCCCCATGGTGGTCCTCACTCCCTGCTCCTCCCCGGTCTCATAGAATAGGATCTTTGTATGTGTGTGTGTGGCAGGGACAGAGTAGAAGGGTTGAGAGAGTCAGGCTATCCTGGAACTTATTGTAGCCCAAGCTGGCCTTGAATTTTTCCTGCAGCTTCCCAAGGACTGGGATTACAACCATGGACCACAACACCTGGCTCATGCTATGGTCTCCTCTAAAATAAATGGGCCATCTCCATCTCAGGGCCTTTGCACTCACTGCTGGGCCTGTTTGAGAAGCATCTTCCCTGGTCACCTAGCATAAAAGTCATTTAGAGATGTTTTGTCAGTAGGTCTTCCCCAAGTCTGGTCCTCAAGCACCCTGAGGTCCACTTGAGAGAACGCATCACTGACTACATTATTGGTCATGCTCACTGCTCCGTGGGCCTCTGCAGAGGTTCCTGAACACCTACACCCATCTGATGTTGGAGATCTAGTGCTGATCAAAAACGGACCCAGTTCTCAGTTGGGGAAGGACCAACAACTGGTTCTAGTGAAGTCGGGGCTGAGTGGAAAACAAGAAGGCACACAAGATTCTGGCAGCCGAGGCTCCGCCTGAGAGGAAGGAGAGCCCCAGGCACTGAAAGGAAGGTGAAGGGTGACTGTCTCTGGACATAATGTCAAGGCAGAGGTGGCTGCACAGGCAAGGTGCTGTCTAGAGGAGGGTACAGTGAAAGAAGCTCAAATCCAAGCCGGCCCACGCCGCCTCCCAAAGCCTGGCTGTATCTGTGGGTGGCTGGGGCCCTCCAGGGTTTGCAGCCCTTGGTAAGCAACCTCCGACCCAGAGAATGTAGGCGAGACCCAGAGAATGTAGGCGAGACCGTCGTGGGTACTTTAATTAGAAACTGGGATTCGGAGGCGGGCACCCCTGCATTTTGCTCTAAGCTCTTCTCCAGTTGCGCTGACTCGGAGGTCCTTCGCCTCATGCCATCTGCAGGAGCTCCTGGAGCCGTCTGAAGAGCGCTGCACGTAGTGTGTCAGGGAGGAAGTGGACTAGCAAGCCCAGTGTAGCCATCGCCACCAGCAGCCAGAGCGCACGCGCGCTCGCGTACAGAGGAGACAGCCTGCGGGCAGAGCTCAGCGGGAGCTGAACCAAGGCCCCGCCCCACAGGTCCAGACTCCGCCCCCACCACGCTAGGGCCGCTCCCAGGACTCGGCCCCGCCCCTTAGGCTCAGGCTCCTCCCCCACCGGATTAGACCGGCTTCCTTGGGCTAGGCCCGCCCACACGCCGTCCCAGAAGGCAGTCTCTTTCCACGCGACCCCTACCTCCAATCACCGCCTCCCACCCGTAGAGCCGCGTCCCGGAGCGGCCCTCCCCTGCTGCGCTTTCCCGGAAGTCCGGCCCGAGTTACCTGAGCTGCGCCGAGCGCGCATATCCCTGGAAGTAGCGGAGGCGCGCGAACAGGTAGAACAGTCCGCACAGGGCTGCGGCGCCTGCCAAAGGCGAGGCGGCACTGTGAACACGCGCGCCCGCCATCCGGGACCACCCCCCGAGCGCGCCCCCGCACTGTGCCGCACCTTCGTGGAAGAAGATGCCGGCGACCCAGAGCGTGGCGAGGAACAGCGGGAAGTACTCGCTGCAGTTCACCCTGCGTGGCACGGGCTGCGTGAGCGCGCGGCCGGGCTGGGCTAACACCCGAACCCGCCCGGACCCGCCACACTCACTGGGCTCGGAAGACGCGCTCGAACTCGGGAGGTCCAGAAGTGAGTGGTGGTGACACGTGGAAAGCCCTGCGCGCAGAGATCACCTGCAGGGAGAAGTAGGCTACGGCCGAGGGGACGTGGGAGTCAGGTGTGGCGTCCAGCATCCCTGGGGCAGGCCCTGTCCCCCAGTCCCCTTCTCTCTGCCTCTCGCTGAGCGACTCCTAACTCCCTCCTCCGACCTGCCCATCAGCGGCGTCCACTGGAAAGACTCAGTAGACCCGAGGGTTGACTGGGGTGATGTGTGCACCAGCAACACCTGCCGGTGGGAGGAGCCACAGGAGAGTTTACCCTCTGAACTATTTGACTTGCAAAGCACAAGCAAATATCCACCTCCCGTTCTGCAGATCTGGACCCCCAGTCTTTTAGTCCCTGAGTAGCCAGTGTTCCAGGACAGAACTGGCACAAGGAACAGGAAGCGCACGTCCTGTGGCTAAGGGACCCTGGTTTCCCTCCTACAGAGGTAGCCAGAAGGGATCCTGCCTCAGGCCAGGGTAGCTCAAGCTTGGATCTAAGTGCCACCAAACAGTGGTATAAACTCTTGTCTCAGTTTCTCTGTTTAGACATCATGAACCCAGCCCTAACTCTGGCAGATACCGTGCTCCAGGTACCTGTAACAAGGACTCTCCATCTAAGCTGATAGCTACCCCACTATTCATCATACTCCCAAGCAGACATCAGCCCCCACCACAAGGCACCTGACACACTTTCCTCAGTGGCCCTTCAGCAATCTTTGCCATCCTTCAGCTGGTCCCTTGATTGTGCACAATCCCCCTTGACTGCGCACTCCTCTAGACTACATTTTCCACGGCTCCCCTGCAGACACTCCTTTGGGGCTTCTAGCAGGGTCTCAGGCCCTTTGACCCTAAGACTCTTGAAGAATTTGGACTTTGGCACCAGAAGTCTGGGTCGAAAATGTCCTGTCTTTCACCTGGGCCTGGGCCTAGGCCTGCCAGCACCCCCATTCCCTACCCCAAGAGCCTGAAGGACAGAGAGCAGGCTGCATGGGTATAAGATCTATCCCCCCACCCCAGACAGGAGCTATCCCACCTTGCAATAGAACTCCCAAGAGGGTGACGGTAGCCAGAAGAGCCACGTCGTCCTTCATGGTGCCAGCCACAGGCAGAGTTAGCTGTGGAGTTCTTATCAGCCAGTGTGTTGCTCAGAAGCTGGCCCAGGAGAGGAAGAGCCTAGCACCCACCCCACCCCTTCTCAGTAGAGGCGGGGAGGGTGGGGGCATGACTATCCACAGAGGCAGGAAGCCTGGCCAGGCTGGGAAGGTAGAAACCAGGGCTGTAGACCGCTTGACAACTTCCCTCCATTGTTCTTGACCCTTCTGTGTTTAGTCCTATGGTTGTAGTACTCAAACTGCTTAACCAGACCCACCCTAGCCTTGGGTGCCTTCCATTTATCATGTCACCCAGGCCCTGCTCCCTTGGTATTTTCCCACTGGCCTTTCAGACCTGCCCTTAATCCTTGGTTCAGTATCGGACTGGCAATCCTGACCTCTCCCACCCCTCCAGTTATTTAACCTGTATAACTTGTATCTGCACCCCCATCCAGGGCTATTCTGTAAAGTGCTGACACATTCTTCCCAACTCCATTTGGCTTCATGATGCTGTCCAGGTATCCTCAGCCACAATGGACCTACTCCTGTTCTTGCTCCTTCTGAGCATCCTGAGGCCCACCACCCTCAGAACTTCACAGGTTCATGAATAACAGCTTCCATCCTTGCTCTGGATGTGGGAGAACATTGTCTCCAGGCCTGTGTATTTGCCTAGCATCCCACCTGGCTCAAGGCACTGGTCCTTACCTTCTTTAGCCCAGTCCTTCCCACACCAGACAGAGCTGACAATTCCTGCACTGCCAAACTTGTGGTGTAGACATGTATGCCAAAGCTGATGGAAGAAAGAGAGACCCAGTTCTGGAAACTTCTTTAGCTGTTCGGGAAAGGAAGCTCAGAGTATGGAAGCTGAGAATTCATGTTGGTGAGCCTTGGGGCCCCGGAGCTGCCTCTTCTGGTATGTGGCGCCTGGACTGTTTTGCCTTATAAAATGTCACTTCTCTTTTCTGATGAAGTTGGCTTGAGGTGAATCTGGTCAGCTGTGGCAGAATCCAAACTAGTCTAGAAGAGCCACAGATGAAGGGCACAGCCCAGCACAAGATGGGAGAGGGTGAGTGCTGAGAAAGTAACTGCCTCATTACCAAATCTTCATCTCTTAACACACCTGCAGCCAGCTTGATCATATCATGGGAGTCTTAAGACATCAGGGTCATCCTTGGAAGCCACTGCCACAGAGCCAGCCTCCTCCTTTGCTACCTTCGAGCCCAAGATCCAGCCTTGGTCCCTATGGACTCCTCCAGAAGCCCTTCTGTCCACCTTGTTCATCAGTGCGCCCAGCAAACCTGATGACTCCCAGCTGGGGCTCTGCAGGGTCCTCAATGACAGAATTGGGTCTTCTGCTGGTCCCTGCTTTCCACGGAGCTGATGCTCAGCAATAGAGGAATGGGCAGGATACAGGCATTCCGCCACAAAATGGACTGGGTCGTTATGCTCTGGCTTACCTTTCAACCCCTCCATCCCTGAAGCTGGCCTGACTGCAGCCTCCTTTCCTGTCTCCCCTCCAGTACCAGCTGGATGTCCTGAAGTTTGCAGCCCAGGCATTGGCAAGGCACTAGCAGGCTGTGCTCCTAAACGCCCATGTGAATGGTGTGCCTGTCCGCATGCCCATCAGCAAACGAACATATCTGTGTGTGTCTGCTTGTGAGTGTGGGTGCTCATGGATTCAAGCTGCAAGCAAGTCTGTGCTTTCTGTCACTTCAGGCTCTGCTCTGCCAAGCTG